TCCACTCGTCCCATCGCAAGCAAGGGTGATCCATTAGATCATTAGATCGTTCTGGGACACAAATCCCAAAATCTTGTAATTTCATGATTTCTGCTTTATCAACTCCCCTCCCCCCTCTTCCTCCATGCAGGGCCCCCCATTCCCCCATCGAGTTCAGGGTGTAAGCTTCATAGCAGCCTATCCTACACTGATTATCAGTACCGTAACTGTTTACAGTAAACAATACAGATAGTGAACTGTATATGAAGGCGGAAAAACTTACTTACACTGAAAACTTTACATTTATCTATCTGTTATATATGGAAATGCGAATTTGAAAGACTAATATAAACCTGAACAATGGCGAGAGTTCATCAGACATAAAAGTTTATAGGCAAATCTACCTGTCATAATCTCCACTAAACATCCAAACGAGTCTACACATTTCTGATTTCTTGCTAAAAGCTTCAAAACATCACTTTAAAATTGAATATATCACAAGGATGCTGAGCTTGTGGGCTTGTCTTCTAGCCTCGGAAAGAAAGTAATGGTAAGGCACTTGGTTAGGTATGAGCTCGAGCCCCGTCAAAGGCAGAGTGTCTTGCTCACAACTCAGTACCCTCGGGATAACATTCTCGCCGCAATTTGCGGCGATGGTCAGCAATTATCAGAATAAAAGCTGAGTATATACTCCAATGAGGTGCAGCAGGTAAGGCCCATATTACCAGCATATAGCCGTAGACAAATTGCCGTCTGAATGAACTCGTTCGGAATTCCCTTCCTGATCGGTGATATGTATGTAGTGGTCGATTGTTCGCCTGGAGAGCCAGGAATGTCTGTTGCAGAATACGATGTGATACCTGTAATATTATTAGTAATTATGTGATAATATGAGCTGTCTGCCGTTTTGTGGTAGGTTTTCCAGCCTATTTGACGAAAATTGTTCTGATAAGTGACCTTCGTTTGATTCGGATCATTTCCCTGAAGTTCCTGATATGAGGCTACCACCATCAGGCCACCCGAGGTATGACCTGCTTTTGAAACCCTGACAATGGAAATGTATTTTTCTAAAACTTCTCCAGAAGAGTAGGTGGGGAAACCTGGGTGTCGAGGGGGAGGGGATGTTAGTAAGGGGAGGTACTAGGTACAAGGTGAGGAGGTCGAACTCGCTCGCCTAGGCCAACCAAGACTCCCATCTCTTCAGGACGCTTAAATGGTATCAGACTCGACTGGGAGGATAAAAGCATTGGCTTATGCATCGGGTGGCAACCGCAATTCATTGTATGGGCAACATACGCATTCAAAACGCCACTACGATTCTGAATGGAAGTCGAGTGCGGGGCGCATCCCAAAACGAACAACACCAGAAGATTTCAACCTTTTAGACTCGTTTTTAAAATTATTCAATAATCGGCTACAGTTAGTAGGCCTAAAAGGCATTCCTTACCTGCCGCTTTTCTGACAGTCTACGGAATCCTTTTCGTGAACTAGTTTGGCGCTCAGTTTCAGCCATGGATAAATCATATCCATAGAATCAGTATCCAAATAGTGTTCATTTTTTGCTTCATGCTTGCTCTGAAAATTGGCAAATCTGCTTATCTGTTGGTTCAATGGAAGTATTTTTACATAGAACATAAGTGGAATGGAAGAGTCAAGAGGAACGATTCGTACAGCTTCTGTATTCTACAGAGAAGGCCCCTTATCTCCGGAACCTAAAGGCGGGCACTTGATATTTTTCATCAGGAGGCAATGAACGGAACACCCCTTTCCAGACCATCCCAAGACCAGGCTCCCCCTTCGTCCTAAATCAATGTCTTCACTCCAAGCTATGGAAAAAAGCGTCTAAAACCCCTTATGAGCAGCGATTCTTGCAAATAGGAACAACAAAACAAAATAATTACGATTGAACCTCGAAAAATACTCCGAAGTAGATGTCGCCGTCCGTTCGGAAATACCACGATAACGTTTTCGGCTCAGAGATCTCCAACGTTATATAGCGAGTCTTCTTTGCGGGTATATGAAGGTGTTCTAGATGATGTAAAAGTTCAGGGTTCTCTGGTGTCCAATAATCACATGGTTGCAGCTTTTCCGCTCCAACACAAGTAATACTCTGAATGTTAGTGCTCATTAGTGACTTTTGCAAAATTGAATTCCATGAATTCTTCATCATACCTCATTATTTCCACCCAAGGTGGTTGGTATGTTGTTCAGGTCGATATCTTCTGTTAAAGCCTTTAGGAAGTTACTGTCGTGGAGGCGAAATTTGTCGGAAAATCCTGCTGGCATCATTGTTTTGGCGATTTTGTAAGGGACATGGATCCATCTTGCAATGTTGACGATGTCGACCGGAGTCACCTTCAATCAGAACGACTTATAAAAGATTTCAATTTTTTCTGTTTTGTTCTTGGGCTACGGTAGTTCCCGTCGAGCTGGTGGGGAAGTCCCATGCGTTTGCGATCGGAGCTCATTTGCTACGGCTGATAACCTCAGGTTTACCTTTTTGTTCGATCTGTGCCTCAATGCCTACGTATGAGCTTCGACCTCATTCGTACAAAACAGAGAAATACCTCAAAACTTACAAGTTCTGGGTAATTTTCATAGTGGAATAGTTGCGAGTAGTATGCCAGGGTTCCGCTACTGACGAAGACCATGGTGAAAGGGTTGATTTCGTAGCCGTTCATATCAACGATGTGTCGTATGGCACTGAGTCGACCTGTCTTCTCTTCCTGCAATTTCTCATGTACGGTTTACGAAAAAATATAAAGTGAACCCTATTTATTCTTTTCTATTTATTGACTACTGAGTTAATTATTTATTTATTTACTTATAATGCTGTACAATGAAAAACAAGAGACAGTATCTGAGCTGTAGTAGACAAGCCACTTCAAATGGAATGCGAAGCAGATAATACACAGCAGTTGACTCAAAGTAATTCAGTATTTGCTCCCATACCACTTTAAAAGAATGAAAAAATGACTCGCGTAGCGGAGGTGGTGTATTGGCGCGCACAACTACACACACGACCCTAGGATCGTATCCCGGGACAATGTCCTCCTGGTAAAAACAGACCTTCCATCCCCTCGGTGTTTGTCAGTTGGTAGCAGACCCGTCTGGGAGGACTTGCACACTCGGCCATCAAAAGTCATTGTATAGGTCCCAAACGCATTCAATACCCCTCTACGATTCTCAATGGAACTCGAATGCAGGGCGCATATCACAGGCTTTATCACCGGCGAGGGCTTTTTCCTTTTATTCTTCATCATCTGCATTTTATGATGACGAACAATTCGTCGATGTTCCCACCACGAACGAGTCTGATGCTAAACTGACCGGAAATGATGAATGCCCCGGTTGGCCTAGACAGAATCCGACCACACGGACCGAGCCTGTGAGCCACGAGCGTGCCATTTAGCCCCATCTAGCCCACTTCAGTTCAATGAATCTCAAAATATAATGAAAGGGTTCAAAGAATGTAAATAATAATTAAATAAATAAAAGAAATGTAAGTAAGTAAATTATCCCAGAATCTAGTAGAACAGAGGTACAGTAATATGGTTCATCACCCACCTGTGCCATGACTTTGCGTAGCATATTTTCAAATTGCCAAAATTGATATTTGCATGCCTGAGAGCTTTGTATCGCATGTGCTATGCTCTGAAATTTTCTTTCGGTTTCACTGATGTGGAATTCGGTCGGAAATTGGAAAATGAACAGTTTCCCTACCTCTACAGTAATTGTGGCGTATTCAATATACCAGAGTAGACGATTGTGGGCATCGTGCACGTTCAGAATCTCTCCTCTTGGCATCAACTTCTTCGCAAACATCGGATTCTCATCGTAACCTCTCACGGGTTGATTATCCTGTAAATCTGTGAAGTAATGAAATTATGCTGTGTATTGGCTCAAACGAACTGAGTAGTGCACAGAGTCCTTAAGCTGATCTATGAGTTCATCCCTTCTGGTTGCGCCACACAGTCAACTTTTTCTTTGGAGCGTAAGCGTCCTGTGCATTTGCCTACAGAGCTTAATCTGTCCTCGGGACAGTGGTGTCCATCTGATGGACTCTGATTCTCACTTCCATGGCATCATGTGAATTCTACTAACAAAAATCAGAAAATTCCACTAATCACCGTCCAGTTGCTTAAATCTAGACCTTCTTCAAATCTACTACAAACATGATCCCTCCATGGGCAATGTCAAAGTCATGGAGGGGCATGTTATTTTTCTGCGACGCTACGGTCCAACCAGCCGAATCGACGGAACCATAATTGATCGTGACCCTAATTTCTTGTTAAACGCCTTTGTTCAAAACTGATTTTGTAGATAGAAGAGGAGGTGGTAGGTTGCAACATCAAGATTAAATGGGATAAGGGAAGTCCTCGTTCGGTAATCAGTCCTTTTTTGGGATGAGCCTCAGCATTTGGCTTTCATATAAAAGCGTAGTGGTGTTTCGAATGCCTGCGGGGTCCACTTAGTGGCCAGCCGATGTATAAGTCGGTGCTTTCATCCGCCCAGACGAGCATGATACCATTCAACCGCCCCTGAAGAGAAGGAAGGGATGGCCTGGGTGACCGTACCTAGCCGAGCTACGATCAAAGGGTCATGCGGGTGATGGCGCGCCACTTGCCACTGCACTACACACCTCCACACCCTGGAACATAAAATGCACATTCAAACGCATACTGGTGAGAAAATTCGAGGCAGTTACAGGAAGGGTAATATAACTTATCAACGTGACTATACTACAATTTTATTCATAGGGATAAACTATATCTCTACCAGTTCGAGCTACCTTTTAAAACTAACGTATACTAGTTCTATCGAACTGGTTCTTTCCGCGCCTGGGCTCGACTTTCACTGATCCCATTTACGTGGTCGCGACACTGCGTCGAGGTTACTTTCTAACTCGGGTCCTGTACACCAATAAAAGATGAAGGATAAAATTTTTGGGCGTTAATCAGTCTCGTCCAGAAGGTCCGGGTGTGATAGTGCGCCACCTTGCCACAACACCATCTCCGCCCTTGCACACGAATAATTCTCTTAATTACCTGTTATTCTTGTCTAAGTAGCCAAGAAAGATCCAACTCACAAGGTCAAGAGCTTTNTCCGCGCCTGGGCTCGACTTTCACTGATCCCATTTACGTGGTCGCGACACTGCGTCGAGGTTACTTTCTAACTCGGGTCCTGTACACCAATAAAAGATAAAGGATAAGGTTTTGGGACGTTGATCGGTCCCGTCCGGAAGATGCGGGTGTGATGGTGCGCCACTTGCCACAACACCATCTCCGCCCTTGCACACGAATAATTCTCTTAATTACCTGTTATTCTTGTCTAGATAGTCAAGAAAGATCCAACTCACAAGGTCAAGAGCTTTACGTATTCGAAGATGATTGTTGAGAGCTTTTGCAGCCGCATCAACTATATCCTTTTCTTTCTTATGTAGTCGTTCAGCTGACATTACGAAACGATATATGTTGAAGTCGGTATTGAACTAAATGATCACTGGTTACCATGTATTATCATCATTTATCATCGTTTATTATATGTCATCCATTTCACACTGAAAGCGCTACATATTACTTATGATCAGGGTGCTTTTACATTTTTAGATAGACTAGACTTTGTGATCGCACGTGTTGTAATATGTCTATTGATTTTGCGCGTCTGCATAAGTTAAGAGAATAACTGTACGGGACTATTTTCTTTTTTCTTTTCGAAAGAGGTTGAACATGAGAAAGCTTCAAAAAGAAGAAGAACTGCCTGTGAGAAAATGAATGCATACGCGCAAAATCAATAGGCATCTTACAGCGCTTGCGACAACGGGGCGGTCTAAACGTCATTAAGGATTTCTCCTGTCTTCTCACAGATTCGAATCTTGATGGTGCACTCCAAGAACTTGCCTTATCGGCACTACCGACCATTCAAAAATTTTCGATTAACTTACTGTTGAACTTATCGGTTGAGTGATTTTCGAGCGAACTTCGTTCACGTATCGTTGAGATTCATCACTGAGTGGTTCGCCGAACGATGTTGAAAACCTTCGCGTCATTGTGGCTCAATGACGACAACAGCCAAAACTGGAAACTTTCATGGGCATTTCTTTAATATCGTGGCGTTACAGATCGTTACAGAATGGCAGATGAACTGGTAGTAAAAAGCGAAATTGAATTTTACTCAGAAATTACATTGAAAGGACTCAAACCAGTGAGGAAGAGACGCAGAATGAATACGAAAGATACTTAAGAGTAACCTTCCAATAAAGGAATGTTTGAAAACTCTTTAGGGTCCACCAAGTCCACCATTGCTAAGTTTTATTCATTCGGCTTTCTGTACAATCATTTTTAAGACCCTTTCAAGACGAAGCTATGGCTATCCTTATCAGGAACGCGGAAGTAATTATGCCCTTTTTTCTTTTTTTTATTCTCTGTTTTGTTCCATTTTTTTTACTTTTCGGATAAGAACTTTCTGGAATTTCAGTGCAGATTCTTCAATCCCATTGCCGAAGTTTTGACCCGTAGGAGATAACACAAAGGTGCACATGAAAAGTGCTCGTTCAAACAGACACTGCCCACAGCCTGAGAGTGCCAAAGAAAATACGCGGAAAGAAAAATAAGAAAGGAGAGGAAGTATCTGACATGCATTAGAATGATGTCTATCGAAGACGGCTGTACTATGAGCGACAACACGCGACAAAAAGCGGAACACGTAACGATGTAGACTGCATTCCGTGACTATCAGAAGTTCCATCGCAAAGTATCCATCAAAAAATGCTAATTGGTCCAGAAGTCCTTCGTTACCAGTAAAAAAAGAACATTATGAACTTTGTATAACAGCCCCTTTGCTCTCTAAACATCATTGAGGAGTAGGCTTACGGTAGAGAATTGAACAGAACCACATCAAACCACAGCAACGTTATATCGAAGATGGCAAAAAATGAGCTGGCGAGACTGTCTGACACCGTTCCAACTGACAATGAACGTCAGATTGTGCCATTTACTTCTCACCGCGCTCCCTACTCTACATGGGTGCAACAAATTTCCCGAATATTCGAATAAAAACAGTTATGTAATGGGTTTCACGCAACGAAACTTTACACTGAGCGAAAAACGGGTGAAACCCTTGGAATGGAACGACTTCAATGGATAATAAATGATAGAGTGATATAAATAAATAATAATGGAAATAAATTACGCTGATTGTTTGTGGAATAATTGTAGGGGAGTAGGGGTAGTGTAGGAAAGAGATGGAGGGAGGTCGGGTGAGAAGAATGGGCGCAGAAGAAGGAAGGAAGATAACCAGGAGTGAAGGGAGGTAAAGCAAGACATCCTAAAAGGGCTATGTGGAGTCGCAGAAGAAGGAAGGAAGATAACCAGGAGTGAAGGGAGGTAAAGCAAGACATCCTAAAAGGGCTATGTGGAGTGGAATAAGAGATTTCCTGGCTGAGTGTGCAAGAGCTTCTGATTGTTCGAAGCATTGGAGCTCACAATATAGTCAAAGAAAATGGTTCCGTTCTCTAGTAAAGAAAAGTGGACCGATGATCCTAGCATGGCCGAAGCAGACAGTGCCTTGGCCATTTCTGATCAAGATAGGGAGAGGTTAGACGGTGGCGTTTACTATCCTTACGAGAGCGTACGTAGCTGAGTTCTTATTGTAGGAAATCACAGCTACAGATGAAACTCCAGTGTGGGCAGGTTGAAAGCTCTCAATAAATGGTCAGCAAGAACAGAAATCAGCGATAGTTCTTTCACAAATCCAAAAAGAAACATTTAGAAACCATTAGAAAAACATCTAGAAGCCTCTGCTACCCTTTTTGAAACTTCAAAGCTCCGAATTTCGGAACCACGTTATCTTTTGAACTGACCCCACGACTCATCCTATCGTCAATATTCAACTGGCTTCTCGACAGTGATCGCTTTTCTAGGAATTTCTGTACATACGAATTTGATACAGCAACTACCAACGGTAGAGGATGTCTTGGCCAGCGCTAGGACAATTTCGGAGCGTCAGTACACTAGTCGACCTTAAATGGAGCCAGTCGAAGGAGTTTAGCATCGCAACATTGTGGAACATCACTTAGCATGTCCCAGAGGCCTTTTAAAAGCCTCATCCTGTAGCTGGGACTTCAGCCAGCAGATTACTTTCTCTGAAGATGACTAGAAGCTCCTATGCACCCAAAAAACAACGGAAAAATTGCTACTGGGTCGAGATGTTCTGAGCCCCGAAGAAGAGGTAGTAGGAGTAGTCAAAGAGGGATCTTGCAGAAATTTAGGAAGACAGGAGATACGTTGATAGAAGGAAGTGAAGAATACTGACAACAATAGCGGATTGTGCTACGACTGGAAGGGAGGAACAAGACGATGCGGTGCATCGTAGACAGTTACATTTGAGAGCCAGTGTGGTAGACTAGAAAAGGGCGAGACTGTTGAAGGAGAATCAATTGATGAAAACCGATATGGAAATCTTCATAACAGCCCTTTTTCAATTCTAAATGAAGGACATTGGTCATACCCTTTATGGATCTGTTGCAAAAAAAAAGTCGACTGCGTCATTCCCGTTGACGGATCTTAGGGCAAAACTCGTTTTCCAACTTTTACAGATTCACAAGAGGAAATTTTGCCGAAATCGTCAAAAGCTCTTAAAAACAGTCGCTTAAAGCAACGTCGGGACATGCCCGGAGTACGAAAATCGGTCAGTGGGATGGGGCGTTCCTGAAGCCCATGGACGAGCACTTACGAAACTCCTCCAGTTTTTTCAAGGACGATTAATCGCTTCGCGTCATCGCTCGCCTTTTTTATCCCATTCAGATCATGAAGCTCAGATCTCGGCCTTTTTGCTTATACAGTAGCCATATACAGTAAGATTAAGCTCGCAAAGCAACCAGAATGCCGGCTACATTTACGGTGCAAGAAAATAGGGTAACGAGAAAGCGGAGAAGCCAGAAATTGGTGTTCCGAAGCACCTGGGAAGCACAAAAAGGAAGATCTCATAATAACTAAAATCCATGCAATTTCATACAGTAATCCTTATGTTTTAAGCTACCACTGTGCAACAAGTCCGTGCTATTTTACGACTTTTTAAGACTAGCTACAGAATTAAGCAAAACGGAAGTACGGTAGGGATTTAAATCCTCTTTGCGATGAATACTGTTAAATTCACGAAAACGTAGTGCGAATAGATGAGTCATAAGTAAAAACTGTAATAATTGGATTAAAAATTGGGTCAGAACGAGGCGACGTAAGTCTTGGGCGATGTACGGGCAGGGATGTGTGACCTGGATCCTATCTGTGCGCCCCACCCCACCCCACACCCACACCCCATCCATTCATTGCCCGCATAGACATGGACAGGTCTCGCGTACCCCCACAACTGTGTTTCCGGATTGTAAATGGCTAGTATTAGGACAACTGATGCAACCGGTTTTCCATGCTATACTCAGGTTTTTACTTCTTGTTATTACCCCACGGGTAATGTGCACCAGTGGGCATGGATGGTACAGGGATTGATATAGGATCATTAATTATCCTCTTCTACTACTATGAATTACTATTTTTGATGGTAATTCTGGCATTTCTGGTATTTTGGACGTCAACGAAATGAATTTTTGCTCTCAGGTACTTTCCATTCGGATCAAAAAGTATATATTCATTTTGAGGAGTAAAAAGTAGGTAGTAATCAAAGTAATTGGGGGTGGGAGGTAAAAAGAAGCAGGGAACAGGGAGTAGATTGAGAAGAACCGTAAGGGAGGAGTAAAAATACCTCTGGAAGATATTTCCTCAGTGAAACACGGAGAGGGTCGTTTGTAGAACTCACTTTGTTGGGTTTGTAAAAGTAACTGCCACAAAAATTACAGTATCACTACCGTTTCCAGACTAATCACGGAAAAGAGACCTACCTAAATTCTTGGCTGAGAAAGAACGGTAGAAATAGGTAAAAAATAATATTTACGGGGTAAAATCCCAGCAGTTACATAGGTCACCACCTAAATGAGGCACTTAGGCCGTGCTACCTCATGTAGGTGGTTGAGGGTGCAAACAAAATGATTCAAAGCAACATGTTATTGTTGCTGAAAGTGTCCTGACGGGTTGTGAAGATAGCACTTGTAGACCACGCCCTTCTGCCCGAAAAATCTGAAGTTCGAGGTGTTTTAGTGGGAAGTTCCCTAATGACGAAACCGGGTATGTAATGGGAGACCCGATCCGGTCATAGCGCGCGATAATTTTGAGCCAGTTGTCTCGTAATAGGGCGCCATTCGGGACTCCCAGCTGTCATGCGAAGGCTAGCGGCTAACAATGGATTTCAGAAACATGAGATGCAATTGTCACAAATAAATGATTAGGGAGAGGATACTGTAAGGTTACTGTGAGCAATACTTTGCCCTACTACTTCGCTAGACGAGGAAATCTTTGGAGCAGGAGTGGGAGGCTGAGATTCGGCCTGTCGCTCGGAACATTCGCCTACCGTTCCGGCAACTGAGACTGAGGCCCTTAAGAGTTCTGAGCCGATAATTGCCCACATGGCACATCATGATACAAATCGAAAAGTGCAACCAAGAAGTGACTGTGGGAGAGGATTTCTCGGGAAATCTCAATCCCTCAAGTCATCAAAGGAAGATTGAGAATTCTGAATCAAAAAATCAATTTGCAAAAAAATTGATTTGCGTACTGTAGACTTTGGTGGACTGACTGTAGCCCACCAGAATCAGAAGATCCGTCCAGAGTGAATCCGTCCGTTTTTAAGCAAGCCTCTCGTTTGCAGAGGCTACGTCCGCGTTGACAACCAGAAACAATTGGATTTCATGCTTCGATGCTTTTATGGGCTAGTTTTCGAGAGAAGCCTTCGCTCCTCCCAGGACTCGGAGAGGATGGAACTATCTTGGACTCTAACCAGTTTATCTTTGTGCCTGGTCATAAGAGATTTTGGAAGATAACTTTGTCTTTGTTTTGTTGTGAGAGATAGAAAGCGTCGAGAAAGTGTGGTTTTATACTTATTAATATTGGAAGGGGATATTTGATATAAATTTATACTTGAAGATTTCAAGTCAGTGTAGCCAAGAGTAACGAAGTGGAAGACGAGGTGTCTGATGGGTTGCGTAAGGAGGACACTGGAACTGGTTACTGTGTCGATGAGTCCCATCAGCCAAGCCAGCACTAGCGATAAAGATCTCTTGAGATAGTCGCTGCTAACGGAAAGTTCCCATTCGGGGGAGGGGTCAAGTCCGATCATCCATTTGAAATGGCCTCATTGAAAGTTAAAAAGTAAAGTCTTGAGGCGTTGATCAGTCCAGTCCGAGGGATGCGCCCACGCATTCGACTTCCATTCAGAATCGTAGGACGTACTGAATGCATATGTGGCCTATACAATTAATTGCGGAGACCAGCCGGCTTTTATCCTCCCAGACCAGTCTAGTGCCAATTCATCGACCCCGGAGGGATGAAAGGCATGGTTGGCCTAGGCTGATATTGGTCCGTGATTCGAACCCGTACCATGTGGAGGTAAGCGAGGTGTGGGAGTTCTTTATACGGTGCACATAGGGCTGCCGTGCAAATGTGACAGTATGGTGTGCTTTAACAGTTGATTCATATATTCGCCCAATGTCTTCCATACATTAACAATGAAGTGTCTTCCACCTGGGATTTAGAAGCGACTCCTCACGTACTTTCCCTGAGTGTGATTATGAGACCCTTAAACAGAATCGCAGAATAAGCAAATGCATCCAGCAGAAGGGTCAAACGGGCTGGTTTGCTTACATCTACCATGTGTGTATGAAGTGCGCCACTTGCCACTACACCACCTCCGTCCTATCTCGAGAAAAAAAGCTTATTCAGATTGTATGGATGCAAACTAAAAATTTTTGGCTTCTTAGTTAATTATAAAGATGGACACGTTAATAATTGCATGAATAAAAAGCTAAAGGCAATCTCCCACAGGAAATGTAAGCGTCGCAGAAACCGGTAGTAGAAACAAAAAGTCATACCGTCATACCAAAGAGTACACCGCCAACAAGTTGGGAAAAAAACTTGCCTAGTCTTATGATCAGTTACAGTAGAAAAGGTAGCAACAGAACCAGTTGAAACTAGGTATTTGGCCTTTTTACCTACCTTATACTTTATCAATAATCAGCAAGTACGGAAAGGGTCCATCCGTCCTTTCAAGGTGAGCCACGCCTCAGTCCACCACGCTGATCTGAAGGCCATTTCAATTTACATACCTAATGAGAGTGAAAGTTGTGTACTGGTACTATCTCACATGCATAGTCCGGGGATCGATATCCGCCCAGAAAAACCAACCTTTCATACCAATTGATACCGGACTTGTCCGGGAGTATAAAAACACTGGCACGTACGTCGGCTGCTCACTTCAAGGGCTTTCATTACAGAGGCTACATAGGCATTGAAACGTCACTAGGATTCTCAAAGAAAGACGAATGCGAGGCGCATCTCAGAATGGGGATCAATACACACCCTGTCCTAAACACAGTGTATCAAGAGAAATGAACGCAGTAGTTCCGATGTCAAGTAAACACTGATGTGAACGAAAGGCTTAAAGACTTTGGGCGTAATCAGTCTCGTCTGAGGAGTGCGCCCCGCATTCGACTTCCACTAAGAATCATAGTGACGTTTGAAGGCGCGATGGCCCATACAATGACTTGCAGTAGCCAGTCGATTTGGAAGTCAGAGCTTTTATCCTTCCATACGAGTCTAGTACCAATTAGCCGACCCCGGAGGTGTGGAAGACTCGACAGTCAGGGCAGATATCGATGCGGGATTCAAACCCGTGACCAAAAGTGTGTGGTAGTGTGTCACTTGCCACCACACCTCCGCTCCTTGTTTCTGGATACTGCCAAATTAAGTGGAGCTCGAGTAGGCAGATCAGCTCTGATCAATTTTTCATCCCTCTGGAATTTCTGGAGTTCTTGAAAATGCCAAAAATCTTTGACCCTTCCTACAAGAAGCTGCACCGATACCAAGGTAAGGTCAAGGTTAATTTCTTGGTCAGTGTGTACGAACCCATTCGCTGAATCCGATAAGACGACACGGCTACCTACATAAGATATCCCCGAAATTCATCGGGAAGAAAGGGATATCGTGGAAACATGCAGTTCTTGACGCCTTGAAGGGTCGACCCCTTAACCAGTGTACTTTGTTCGGTTGACGGCGACGTCGTTGTGCGGTAAATGGTTGTATTCGAAGAAAGGATAAAGAATCGCGCATCGCCCACGTTGGAGATAGTCGACGCAGTTGTGAAATACGCCTTCCTACTCGAAATCTTTCAAAATCGTGGTGGCAATGAATAGATGGCTTGAAAAGCACGAACCGGTACCTTTACATTGAACCATGCGCATGGTCCGGTCCGGGAAATGGTACGCCTGACGCTCAGTAGGCGTCTCTTGCCCCTGCTACTCTTTTGGGTTCAAACATATGAAATTATAGCTCTTCGCCCCCATATGTCGAATTTGAGTCTATCCAAGCCTATGTGGAAACAAGCTAACTAGTATGCTTCTCGAAGCTGGGTACTACTCGCAATGAGGACCAGTCCACATTGAATGTTCCATATTTCAATAAATACTATTTTGACATAGTACGGGTCTTCTCCACTTGGTTCCATTCAAAGGATCCCTTTTGGGGGATGAGCAACCTGTGTCTTCCAACAACCAATTTCTTAGACGTCAATGAAAGCTTGTCTGCAATTGCACAGAAATTTGAAAGGAAAATTTTCAATTTTCTTTTTCAATTTGGTTATTTCAGTGTTTTAAATTACTTAAAGTCTTACAAACTGATTAATCATCTTCGTGGTCAGTCAGGTTTTTATAACTACTTCAGCTTCAAATTTCAATCTACCTCCTTATTTAGTAACCATTTAGGTGAATGAGGATAACCAAGCAGCAGCAACGAAGGCGGCCCAACTCAGGAACTGATGAGTGTTCGTTTGTAGAACGTAAGTCTGAGAAATTCTGTTATAAAAATGGCTGAATTCGTTAGGATAAGAGTAATTGGCAATACTTTGTTTATTCCAGCGTGTAGATTCAAACTGCTCAGGAAATTTTGTGTTGAATTGCAAACTCATCACTATATTACTTGATTTTGTTGAATGAAAAATAGCGATTGCATGAAAGCTTTGCAAGAGAAATTGCTGTCCCATTTTTCAGTTGATAAGGCAGTCTGTGAGGACCTCCACTCTGTGTTGTCTCACTTGAATGAAGAGAACGAATGCGATATCTGGATTAACCTTGAAAGGGTTCGTCTTTGCTGCACTTTTTTTGTGTTCAATCCCTCTAGTTTCAGGATTTGGGGTCGGAAAAGATCTTAATTACTGTCGTCATTCATCAAAGTTTCTGGGGATTTCCGTATGGGGAGCAAGGATGGAAATTTAGATGTTTTCTTTAGTTGCTTCGGAAAAAAAGGATTCATGGGGGTTAGGGTGAATGTTCTTTGTAAGGGCTGCTGTCTGTTCAGCTTAAAAGGACAAAGCCCGAGAAGTGGCCCTTTTGCTGGATAGCTTTTATGAAGTCGAACAGAGTAGTTTTAGTTGTCTTTGGCAAAACGTTGAGAGAGTTTTATCGGATATCCAATATCGACGACTTATTGCTTACAGATTTTCCATGACTACTGCAATGCACTGGAATACCTTGGATCCAGTGTTCCTGTTGACGAAATTCGACATGCATTTGGAGCACATCGCTGCCTGGCTGCCCTGGTTACAGAAGTGAATTTGTTGCAAGATTATGGAGCGGACAAAGTGAAAAGCTTTTTTTCCTTACTCTTCTCGTCTTGAATAAATATCTTTGAATTCCAGGGCGATTCTTTTCTAGCTTCGATGATAGCTGAAGATCATGATTTTCGCCTAGTTTATGTGAGTGTCTTGGATCCAGAGATATGTAAGCGCTCTTATTCGTTCATTGATTAGGTGCTATGGCGTTGGTGTCTCAATAGTGCAAGTGAGTCAAAGGGATTCGGGGAACTCGCCTTTCAATTCAGCGACATCAGAGAGTTATCTGATTTACCCAGGTGAATCGCTTTTTTCCCTCGTAATGTTTGATATTTTGAAGTTTTCAGCAATGGTAGTGTTTTCTAGAACATACATCAATCGAACTGTCAATGGAAAGAAAATCGGACCAGACCCAGATTCGATGCTTTCGGCACCCGAAGATGCTAATTTTGAGAAAATCATACGGGTCGTGTTCAGTCTTCTTCGATGTGGACGATTTGAGGACGTAAGTGAAATTATGTTGCGTCCACAAGTGCTCAAAGTTTTTCATTGTCTGCGAAGAAACTTTCATAGTGTTGTAATTAGGACGATGTTTTGGTTTCTGCTGGATTTTGCGAGTAGCGCTCAGGGAAGGTGATGGGCGATGGGGCGTTTGTAAAGGAACTTTATAGCAAAAAATATCTCTTCTAAGGCTCTTAATTAGCCCGTCATATAGTGACAGAAATTTATGTGGTAGGGCTGAAGCAGAAGAACTAGAGCCGTCAGCTTGTGGGTCTTAGTTGGCTATCTCAATACTACTTTGTTATTTTCATTATCTCAGGCAATGAATTTGAGTGGAAATATGAACGTCCCCTGGCTAACTCCGTTGATTCGATCGCAACAGCTTCTTATCGATTCAAGCTTGATTGGCGCAAACCTTACAAATCACGAAAGAGCCCGTTTCCACTTCAGGAAATTATTTTTCAACACTATGGTCAAGGCAATTTCCGAGGTGAGTCTTCGATAAAGCTACTTTGCTCACTGGAAGCATATAATGGGTGAAACCGCTCTATAACTTGGGAGTGGCTTCCATAGGACGATATCGGAACCTCTGGGTTGGCATGCTTATTTCACCTTGGGCTAGAGCTATGACTAAATATTATCATATAGCCATGATTGCCGTGTTTCCAAGCTGTTTAGTATACATGAATGGTTTTAAATGTAGGCCGCAAACATTAGCCTCGTCTCCCTCTTTCTGTAGTCCGATTTTACCTTCACACCTGATTTAGAAGTTGAATCAGCTAAATTTCATAGGGCCTTTTTATCGCCCTGTAGTGAATGCTTTCTGCCTTTTTGCTGAACAAGGGCGAAGTATGTTGTATCATAACTCAATTTAAGTTTCTGTAATCATGAATTCTCTAGGTGATACAGGTTTCTAAATCACCTTACCACAATTTTATGATTCCCATGTTAAAAATATTCACGATGTTCCTCAAAAGGTCATACGTATTCTTCCTGCTAACGTATTTGAATAGGTACACTTTAGACTAAATATTCAATGGGTATGCGAATGGTGTTCGCTGCTCTAGCTGGAGATTGGCAATTTCTTCTCCCTCTAGCTGTAAATGTAGATGATCGTTTATGGTGTTACGCCAATGCTGCTGTACAAGCGAGGTTGGTTTACATTGAGGGGAGTGCGGGTTGCGAGCTATATTTCATGAGGTAATGAGCCTCTTTTCAGACTCAACGCCGCTCTCGGTATTGAACACCCAATCTTTGCTCCGACTACGATAGAAGGAATATTCGAAGAAATAGCGACGGTAAATTCCTTCTCAACTACATCGCTCTATGCACCTACATCGGGCTAGACCATGAATTTTTAGGCAGAGCCTCCTCCCTATTATGTTCTTATGAGTTATATGATGAGAGAGGCCTGGGAAGACGCGGTCGATTGGATGTACGTTTACTGTAGTGAGGTCGAGAAGAGACAAGGGGCAAAAGTACAGCCCTTATACCGTTTCTTCGGCCTTGTCACAAGTGTATGTCGTATTTTGAAGAATGATCACGATGTAAGTTATTTAGTTCACTTGCTGTCGGTATGGATATCGTTCCTGCATTAACCATTATTCCTGGAGGTTTGGGGTAACTATTCAGGAGGATCATGGCAAAGCTCTTGTTGGACGTATGATTGATGTATTACTACAGAAACAACTATTCAGCTTGATCCCATTTTATGCGGCGTTACTACCGGAGAATGACGGTCTGCAACGAATATGGAATGTAATGCCATGTAAGTTACTGATGGTCATGTGTTTTCTGAATACTTGCTAGCTCGGTTAGCCATACCCTGGGATGCTTAATTGTTCCTACCGTCCGGAAAGGGTGGATCATAACACTACCATGCACTTACTGTTTACTGCGGCTAGGTTTGCCAAGAGGGGACCCGGTGTTTTCCACGGCTAAAAAGTAGAAAAGAATGTTAGAAGGCGGTTACGTAGTTTCTTTCATTGACTCCCTGGTTGCGCGAATTCGTTCCCTCCTAGTTGTGGTTGAAATTATCCCTAATGGGGTTTTGTCAGGCTTTATTTATCACCAAGAAGTTTCCATTTCCTTGTCATTTTGTTGTGTTCACTTCAGATGTGAAATGTGATGGTGATCGTGTTACTTTCATTGCTGCTCTGAATGAAGCTGGTTTTGATGGTGAGCAGATCGCGTTTGAATTTGGTAGATTCCGCATTGTGGTGAGTACGCATCTTATACTTAGCGGCTATCATCATTTCGTCACTATCATCAACATAAAGAAGGTCTCTTGTGCAGGAAATGGTCGATCACGCGGATCATTTACATTGGATATTTGCATGTGGCGAGAAGAAACTGCTAAATGCCGTTATCGAAACAAACAATGTCCTGCGTCATTATTTGCGTAGGTTTTTTCCAAGGTATTTGAGGAATGATTTGCTGAATGCCTATTTCTGCTATACAGTAACTGAGACGGAAGATGAGGCAAGCGGTCTAATCAATGAATGCGAGAAACTGAAGTTAGTGGATCGTCTTGCTGCATTAGTGAAGAGCGAAAACGACGAGGAAGCGTTAGAGTGGAATTCTACCGCGGGCATTGCAATCGACGAGTTCAACAATCACTGTTTATACTTAGTGGGTGCCTTCTGGATCGTTTTTCGGCTTTTTCAATGCTGTTGGTATCACTCAAAAGTTTATAACTTGGAAAATGGAAGAAGTTTTGTAGTTATACAGTGTGCTTCCAGGCGGCACAAACTCTCTCCACGAACTTTGCCCTTGAATGTGCAAGAGCTCACGAAGCAGCGCAAAGGAAAGCTGAAGATGAACGCGAATGTGACGAGTGGTCCCGCCAAGGCGATCTGGTCGGATTGTCACAACGTACAGCTCGTGCTGAACGTAACCAGGCACTTCAAGAGCGCTCCAAGCTGGCTCTCGACGCATGTAAAGCGGTAAGTCGTGGGCGGCAATAATTTGAGCAATTGATATAGTGAAGGATTCTTTTCAAGCGGACATTGGATGCTATCACGGCTTTTGTTCGACATCCCGGTTGGAGGACGGAGACAAAGACGGTACGTGAGATTTCGTTTAGTTTGGGTCTGCGTACGGTTTCTGCCTCTGTAATCTTTGTTAATGTGTTAAGGCGTAGAACGGTGTTCGATTACAGTTCTAACGAAAATCATTCATATTAATCGAACCAAAGTTTCCAATTAGCGAAAAGGGTGAAAGTTCTGAGATCTGTGAACCCTATAAAGTGAGAGGTTGAAAGTAGAATCGTTAATCTTCATAAGCTTCATTTCAAGATAGTTCTCAATCCGTTTTCTATTTGTAGGATTGGGGTCGATCCGAGCAGTTAAAAGCGCTACGAGAACGATGTTACGCCAATATGCTCAGTGTGCTGCTCCGTAATCTGAAAATGTGCAATGATACTGAAACTGTCTTGGACATCCTCGCGGAATGTGCCGATGAGGAACTGGAGCTCTACAAGGTTTGCGATAACTTACCTTTTGAGATGTCGTGAGATTTTTTATTCATTGTTTTTCTTCCCCCTAAAGCACACCGTTCAATGAAGTAGTTGAATGACGTGTTTCAGCAAAATTACTTATTCATCTAAGCTTTCCCGAAAAATAAAGAACAAGACATGCCCTTACCGATTTATTTCCTTTTTTGCAGGATCTTTCAAGAAGTGACCTCTGCCGCTTTCTTCTTGACGTGCACACTTTGGCTGGTCATGCATTGGGTTAATTACGGTGGATCTCTTTGTTTCGTTTTGTTATGACCATTGAAGAAAACAATATAATAAAAGATGTTTGAATTCATTCTTCGAGACGTGTTGACCCTACGAATGCATGAAATACGTTTCTAACGTCCATTTTGCAGTTACATTCTCGGTCCTTCTTGACCATCCGGATTATTTCCTGCCGTTTTACTTGATTATAGACATCGTGTAGAATTGATCTTTATAAACTGTGTCGCATTAATAATTTAGGCAATGGGTAAGTTTTACAATTCTAAGTACAGTAGAGCAGTTCACTGCTGAAGCGAAAGGGGATTTCTGACTAATTACGCCATCTCGAACAGAGTCGTTTTCGAAACCGAAAGCTGTGTGTGGCAAGGTTACGCCATGCATCGGAATGTCTCTCGTAATAGCTAAAAAGTCTAAATGCGAAGCCGTTCTGCGGTTTGACTTTCTGAAGACAAGTACAAAACGGCAAACCAAACTTGATGTGAGCCTCCGTCGAGTTTTCTTTTGTGGAAATCGAGAGGGCATCTAGGACTTGACACCTGGGCGGAAGTCGTGATATAGGCTTTCACGTTCTGCTTTTTCAGTCGTACGAGCTGGCACATGAAGACATGATTTTTTGGGTTCTGTGCAAGAATATAGATGAGAAAAATAAGCAGTACATAAGCAACAGCAGTTGGCCGAAATGATGTCGCCAACAACCAGGTGCCTCCGCACTTCTGAAGATGAAGGTGCCATCATGCTGCCCTTCACTGCCAAAATAAAGCGAACAAGAAAAGATTCATGAATATTAGTAGAATTACGCAATGACATAATTAATGACTTCGAATACTCAAATTTGAACTAAGTGTAGTTTATTTTTTNGGGGGGGGGCCGCCTTAGGAGACGCTGCCGATAATATTTGCACGACCAGCAGATCGAATCCCACCTTTGCTTAACAAACCTTTCAAGAACGCTTGTCGACATAAAGGTCAAAGCCTTTGCCGTTAAATAATCGCGATTTGAGCATGCGCCCCCACTCCACTTCCCTACATTATCGTAGCGGCATTTTGTATGCTTATTATCTGGCTTATACAAAGATTTGGGGCGACCAGCCGATGTAGAAGTCAGTGCTATAATCCTTCTAGGAGAGGAGGGGTACACCGACCCAAGATCGGTTCCCGCATCATACGAGTGACAAGCGCCATTTGCCATCTCCACCACCTCCGCTCACCGTTTATCGGTGTAGAGCTTACTTTCACTTTAGCAAGAGTTGACAATCTTAGGTTGTGCTATTGATGGATTACCCTAATGCCTTTGTTCTTGACTTGAATTTGAAATTGAAAGGGATTTAAGTGTGTGGCGGTCTCCAGGGTCAATTTCCTGAATTACCTGCCGTCCCGTTGATAATCGTGCCTCCAGTGGGCACCAGTAACGTCCCCGTTCCCCCTGTCGCGAGCCAGGATGGTACAGGGTATACTCCTTCTTTGAGAAAATCTAGGTACATCCAACCATTGCGTTAGCTGCCATCCTGGGGTTCGTTCTGTCAGTGCGTCCAGGCCCTGGTCCAACGATCATCGCGATGTCTGTCTAGCCCTCCTGATCTTTGACTACTTGGCGTTAGCAACAGCGTCCCCGTTTAAGGATGCCGTTCAGAGACAATAACTGCTATTAATCATTTTGCCCGTGGGGAACACATTTTTATCGCTCCGAAAATACAAAATGATAAATGGCTTGCTTAAAATGGTGTTTTGCTTCGGTTTCTTTCTTTGAAAACCAGCTTTTGTTTCTTGTCTCTCACTTCCCAACATCTTCCCCCCAGGAGTCGTTTACGTAAGCCATCGCTATCGCACTTCCCATAGCTAGCGTGGAACGTGTTTCTCCCACTGGCGCCACCGATCGTCGCTACCACTCTCGTCCGTCGATCGACATCAACGATTCGCCATCGGATGATCCACCTAATATGGATTTTGGCTAATTTTCTTGTCTTCATCACCTATGTGACTGCCGATCCTCCGTTCCTCTTTCCACATGGCTATTTTGACAGCAGGAAGTTGAAGCCATTCGATGCCATATACCTGAATATGATGGCACAGTCAAATCTTGAGTACGGTGGAGTAACTCTTGAGGTAAGAAGTTCTCGTTCCTGGTGAATCTGTTCACTGTGGCGTATCACCAGAGTTTTGTAGCTGCTCTTAGTGGAGATTACTTAACTTTGGAAATTAGTGGCGCTGATCAATCCTTTTCAAGGAATGCGCCCCGTACTCATTCCCATTCAGAATCCTGGTGACTAGTTTAACGCGTGTGTAGTCTATACAATGACGTGCGGTGGCCAGTCACAGTCAGTTAGTTTGTACAAGTCACTGCTTTTACCTTCCTAGATGAGTCTGGTAAGAATTAGAAAACCCTGGAGGGGTGGAAGGCTCAGCTGATCTGGACGAGTATCATACGGAACATGTTCTCGGTCGTATATTGGTGATAATGAGTCACTTGCTTCTACACCACCCTGTCCACTGGAGAATAGTAATGACCATTCACCAGCTATTGGGTTGTAACATAAGTTCGTAGAATTTTTTCACAAAGATTTATCTGAACCAAAAAAAAATAATTATAATAATAAATTAACCAATGATGTATCCTCCGTTACTGTTCACGACTTCATCCCATCTCTCGACCAATTTGTTGATGGCGATTCGCCGAAAATCCGCCGTTGTGGTGTTGAAGAATTTGTTGAGCCAGTTTTTAAGGTCCCCTTCGCCATCGAAGGTAACACCCCTCATTGGGTTTAACATAGAGCGGAAAAGGTGTTAGTCGGCAGGTGCAAGATCCGGAGAGTGCGGTGGATGCTGAAGAACCCCCCATTCAAGCTCTTGGAGTGCTGTCCTGACGACTTGAGCATATGGGACCTGGTGTTGTCGTGGAGCAAGATGACTTGACCACCTCTATGAGGTCTTTTCAGATGAATAGCCTCACTTGCACTGTTCAGCTGGGTAATGTAGACCTCCTCGTTGACAGTGGCGTTTCGTTCGAGCAGTTTCCCAGTGCACCATGCCTACNTTTTTTTGGGTGAAGATCTTGTTTGACTCTGGGCTTTGGCGTCTTCCCTGGGGCCATCCACACCTTTCAGTAGACACACCTAAGACACCTTCCCCGTACACACTGCATATGTCCCGAGCGGTTTCGGCTGCTTTTTTGACCTCGACGAGAAGCATAGAAAAGCAGATGTCGAAAATGCTAAATTTTTCTTCCTGGATATTCCATTTCTGAGCCCGAAAAAAGACGAACACTTTAATTATTCTAAAAACGAATAAAGCAGTTTTGTAGAGGAGAAAGAGCGCTTTCAAATGAATGTATACACTTTGCTAAGAAACAAAATAACTCGTTGTAAATTAACTCTAACGCAAAACTCTACGAATTTTGTTACAACCCAATAGGATGCGCCGCACGCATATTTCCTCTCGAAATTGTTCGACCACCTGCGTGAGTACTTGAACCATAATCTAGGCCCTGGTTAGGATTTTTGTAGACCGAATGGTATTCTCTTGAACAGTTTTTTATGCTTTACAGTTGAGTCAGTGCTTAGAAGACCTCACTTAGCCGAATCTCTCAACAACTTTAACATTTCAGCAAATCCTTTGTCATTTATTCCGATTATACTGAATGCCACTTACTTATATAGCCTTAATCTCTGTTATTTGCCATAGAGTGCTTAAGTGGCTGTTTAAAAAACAATATTAAGCATTTTTGCTGGGGAACCTCATAACTACTCCCAAGTTTCATGGTTCAATATACTTTCCGCCCACGAAAGCCACTTTTTATTGAATATGAATCCCTGAAAAATTGGATTGACAATCGAGATAAAAACTTAAAGCTTTTTTACCCTCATTTTTCACTAATTTTTAATTTCATAGCCAATTTTTCCTTTTCTCCTGTGTTTCGATTGCTTGCTGTGAGCTCTATGTCATACCTGCCTTTCAAACGATTCAGTTTTCATTTATAGAAGTCGTAAACATGGCGTATGCCAATGGATTCACACAGAATGTTGATGGGAATTCAGAAATAGCCTATCAAGCTGAAAACGCTATTCTATTTATTTTGTCAGAAATTTCTTTGCAGGAGCTCGACGAACTGGACAAAACGAGAGAACTTGTTGATGGTCCACCAGCTTCGCCGCGTGACAGAGAGGAAGTGAACGTACTCCCTTATTACGAGCCTTTACCACTGGATACTGGTAAGCAAAGTACAGACATCGCCCCGTATTCGATTTCCATTCAGGATCGTAGTGACGATTTGAAGGTGTCTGTGGCCTCTACAATGACTTGAAGTGGCCAACAGCTGTACATGTCACTACTGCTATCTTACTAGACCAGGTTGATACAAGTTCCCACGGGGATGGAAGGCGGCTCGTTTTACGTGCGCGGATATCAGTCCGGGATTCTGTCCTGGGACCATGTGTGTAGTAGTAGTCTCCATTTGCCGGAACACCACCTTCACGGAACATTTTGTATCGGAAAGCACAAAGTCAGTACTATTACCTTCCAGACGAACTTGGGAATAATTAGCAGACAATGTAGAGATGGAAGGCTTAGCTGGCTTGGCGGGTAACAGTCTGACATTCGATCCCTAGACCATGCGTGTAATAGTGCTCCACTTGCCACTACGCCACTTACGGACTACAAACCCTCTTACCGAAATTTGCTTTATTCTGCATGGAAAACGTTTGCTTCGTGTGTTATGACCTTATCAGCCAGTTTGTTTCCAGATGCTATTGCCCCGGGGCCGAGAAACTCATACTATGGAGGATCGCAAGCTTTTTCTTATCTTGACAGGAGTCATTCCTCTTCGGGAGGTAAAGCCCATGATGGCGAAGCTCTACTGAAGACAACGCAGCCACCACCTTTTTCGGACTCCACTATTGCATCAGGTGAAGAGGCATCAGCTATGCCGCAAGGCAGACCAATGATGAAGGAAGACCACCAATCAGACGATGTAGCCGAAAAACGCCCACGCTCTCCATTCAGTCGGATCCGAAGGCTACAAAGGCGTGAGTGAAAAGACCTCAGCAGTCATCTTTATTTGGAAGCTGTTCAGGTAGAAAAAGAAAAGTTTATTTTTCAGGGTACCGGCGAGCTGTGGAAGATGATGAGAATCCATTTGAGGAAATCGCAACACGTCCACCACCCAGGTATTAGTCAGAGTTCAGGACGCCGTAGTGTCCTGAATGAACCATTGAGAATTTATAGGAGCCATGTTTGAACGTTTAGGAGTGAGGTACAAATGCAACGCGTTCGATACTACCTTAGACGGCACAGAAAACCTAAAAAGAAGAGAAGGCGGAATTTCCTCACAAGAGATGACATTTACGATCCCGAACGGTAATTCCCCATTTGGGACATTACTCCGGAAGTTCAGTATAAGTTAAATATCAGCAAATTTCAGAAATGAAAGATCAAGGATGACAAAGGAAGAAAGACGAAGAATGCGTGAAGAATTGGCTCTGAAGCCCACATCCGATGAAGCCGAGGACAGTCATCCCAAAGAGGCACAAGGTATCAGTTGCGGAAGTTTCCTTCTTTACAATACTAACAGCTTCTGGAAGTCTCTACTGAAGAAGCCTCGAATATCAGGTCTATCAAGCAGTTATTCCTGCGGATTGGTACGGTCCTTTTCTAGATGTAAACCTGGCTTGTTAGCTGAATCTCTCCTATTTTGAAAAAAAACCCTAACCGGATTATTACTTATTGATACAAATGTCTGCCCTTTTGGTGAATTATGCCCATCAAGCGGTGACCATTGAGCACGAGCAGATTACAATCAGTCACGGTGGAATGAAATACGACTTATTCCAAATCATGGTAGTTATTGTCATGAGCTGATGGAAAGGTTGATGGGTCGAAAAGTGTTTGCAGGAAGGATAGGGCTACTCGGGATGAAAAGGTTGACCTCAAGGGAGAGAATTATTTTGGAATTTGTCCACGTCCATGAATTCCACTCAGAATCGTTTTGCCATTCAATTGGAACTGTGCAATTGGATGTGGGGTCTGACTCTTGTACAAACCTTCAGTCCACTTAAGCAGCGAAATTCTGACCGCGCAGTGGTGGTAGACTCAGTCGCCCCTCTACGCTGAAGTTTTACTCTGGATATGAGACAGGGGTAAATCTGTGGGAACGAAGTCGCATTGCATCATCCGGTATAGTGAATTGTGGCAGGTGCGCGGCGCGATTGTGTAGCAACTTTGGATGAATGCAATGAGTCGTGCACACATATTGATCGGGAGGAAATCAATCAGTAAATGCGTACAACTTGACAACCCGTCATGGGTTTAGAAAATTATTGATTTTGGATATGAACATGATGTGAGGTTTTTCCAAACTTTCTTTTTCTGATTTTTTATCAAATGAACTCAAGGCAATAACGAGTAAAGTTGAATAATATCCTAGCATATTCATTGATACTTACAAGTTAAGGTGGAAATAGACATAACAGATTTCTTTATAAACTTGGAGAGGAACACTTTTCAAAGTAAAGTTGTTCAGAAGAGCTGGTGCACTTGCAGAGGCCGGTGCATACCGGAGGACGTGAAGGAACGCGCAAAGACTTCCAGGCTACGCCACAACCTGATCGTTTGGTATGTCCCTTATGGAGTAGCTTTGACTTGAAAAAATTCTGAGTTTCAGAAACTTTGTAGAGAAAATAAATGAGGCAAAATGGCAAACAGGTCTTCTTACAAATCGTAGCAGGTACTCGGGTGGGCATGAGTAGCTATTTAGTTTTATCTCTTAGAAATGCCTTCATTCTCACAGACGAGTATGGCATTAATTAATCGACCTCGTAGGAATGGAAAGTTTGATTGGCCTAGGCGAGTATCCATCCGGGATTTGAACCCGTGACCATGCTTGTGAGATAGTGCGCCATGGCCACTACGTCATCTCTAACGTAGTCGGATGGACATGGATGGCTCAATAGAAATCGCTCTTCAAGGAGGTTACTCGAATTTATTCCTTTTTAGCCGACTTTAATTCCGACGGTGGACCGCTTGCCTCGTCTTCGAAACAATCCCTTCCAATCTATTGATATCAGTGGACCTACTGTAATCAGCTTGCCGATTCCACCCAACATTGACGAAAAGTTGGAAAGGCGCCGTTGAGACGAGACGTGCTTTATTTGTTGTAACAACTTTGTTTACCCTCAGTTGTTTATTCCATGTACATATTGTAGGAGTACACCCTTAATTATTGAATGCAATGTTTGGCAAAGTTTTTCAAATAAAACATATATACGTCCATTATGAAGCAAATGCAAGTTGTTCTCTATAAAAACACGCTCAACTTTTAAAATTAGGGAGTCTGTCCCTGTGGGAACGAGAGGCTATGGGTATAGGTTTGTCTAACCAGGTCGGAGGCATTGTTTATGCCTATATAAGGCCTCCTTGTCTACAATTCATCTTTCATATTTTTTGAGCGATTGACGGGCAGTTAAGTAGGCTTATATTTGCCACGTAGCGTCCAAGTGAAGAGAATGAAACTTTAGATTCGCAGGATACGCCGCGCTTTCCGCATCTGACGCATATCGAGTAAGTCAAAAGTGTAGGTGGCGCAATCTGGAGCAAATTGATCATAAAATCGAGCTAAAGGAAATTGTCCATGCCCAAAAATCCTATCAGGTTTCGCTTCTCCAAAGCGAAAAGAGAAAAGCAAATAACCCAGCTTTTTGGTGTTATAGTGTTCTGGAATGAGCTCCTATATCCGACATCCTCTTAGAATCGTTGTGGCTTTTGAATGCGTACGTGTCCTATACAATGATTTGCGATGACGACGAGTGGTTGCCAATTATGCGCCCCTTTGATATGGGAGGCTTGGTTGGTTTTGACGAGGGTCGTGGCCGGATTCGGTCCCGCGCCGTACATGTGATAGAGTGCCACTTGCCACGGCGCCACCACCACCCTTTAGAGTCAAATAAGTTTCAGATCAACGTTTTAGGGACATAGCAAGTGTTCTGTGGGCTTGAACCTTATAAAAGAAGGAGATTTTGCTTCTCAAGACTTTTACTCTTGACTTCGCCCATTCGCAAAACCATGTTCATCAAGCGTAAATAACAAAAGGCTCCAGAAAGCAGGCGTGACCAAGAAAGCCTTGCGACTTGTACTTTTCCAGTATCGAAGGAGCATACAAATTGGCAAAATGACCGAATGAATACGTTCCGAGCTCATAGGAGAGGTCCCAATCAAAGATTCTCTGATCGGGACTCTTCCTATGAGCTCGGAACGTATTCATTCGGTCACTTTCAGGTGAAAGAACAAAGAATCCCTCCTCGTGTTCTCGGTGCTACAAAGCAATTATGTTTATCCTCAGCACCTGTTGCCTGCATCCACCTGCTCGGCCCGCTACGTTTGGCGAAAACCAAAGTCAACGGAGGATGCCTATACCGGTAGAAATCTATTGGTTGCCGACTACGTTCAACGAATCGGGCTTTTGAAGAAAATCGAAGCTCACCGTCCCAGAATGCGGAGAGACCAAATTAAAAATCGCTGGACTGAGCCCTCTTGTGGATTTATTGTCATTTGTTGGTGTGTTGGTGGTATAAGAAACAGCCAAAATTTATGGCCTAGCAGATGGGACTGCGGATGAATACTCTAGTTTGTAAACTCATCATAAATTTGTGAAAGCCTGTAAAAAGCAGTGGCTTCAACTAAGCACGATAGTGGCGGAAGGCGATATCTGTTCGCTAATGGGACACCTAAACAAGTTTCACCAGAGCCGAACTCCTAGGTTGAGGGCTGTGAAGTCGTGCTCCAACTCAGCCCTGGTTGCTGTTGTCTATCATATAAATGACGGGTAGTCTAGTACATCCCACGATCGCACTAATCAGTCTTGAATGTTTTATTTTTGGGAGGAGACGATGTAGTGGGAAGTAGCGCACTAGCTCACATGGTCACGGGTTCAAATCCTCTTAGAACTGATACGTATGTATGCCAACCAGGCCTTTCATCCCTCCGGGGTCGGGGTAGGTTGATTGGTATCAGAATGGTTTGAGAGCTGACCTGTGACTTGGGATTTGTGCATCGGCTGGCCATCACAGTTCATTGTAAAGGCCACACACTTATTCAAGTCACGATTTCGAGTGCAATCCGACTGCGAGGCGCATCCCTACTATGCAATTAATTAGTGCAAAAGTCTTAGGGTTAGATTTTGTATTATCATTTACTATTTATTTTTATTACTCATTTCCCTCAATGAAACAAATGCTTTATTGGATAGAGTGATCAAGATAATCACTGCGCAAAAGCTCTTGAATGCTTCCTTCAATCGTCCGTTCCTCTATTAGGCTTTTCAGTTGATGTCGGAAGAAGTAGCTCTATATAGTGCTTTTCATGCAATAGCTCATATTGCACTGCACCTACCCACTGCACTTGTTTTTTTACTGCTTCCTCATCCTTTTTCGGTAATGTGTTTACGCAGACGTTAGTGAAGGAGGGAGGTGATGGGGTCGAAGAGTGGGAATTAGATTTCCGAATTTGCCCTTTAGCCATGTTTTCTATCTTGTCGTTCCGAATTCTCCCTGAATTGCCCCAATTAGGAGACGCGTTTCGTTTCGCTGAGTCCTTCGGGTTTACTTACTCCCCACTCCTGAGGTATGACTGCCTTCCTTGGAAAGGCAGGAAAATTACAGGAAGTTGAAAAGGACGGGCCGATGGGAGAAGGTCATCTTAAATTCGAGAGATAATTTGAACAAGGGGTGCAAAAAGAACAGAAAAGGTAGCATCTGAATTATGAAGAAGTACGTCTGTGTGTGTTTAGAACAGTAATTCCAAGATTTATAACTTTCTAGGGCCAGCGTTTCGTTAAATTCACGTTGTCCCAAGCCTGAAAGTCGGAAAACCATTTGACACTGATTCTCTTATAAGGCCAGATGAACCCAAGATACATAGCTCAAACTACAATGAGTAACCCTTTATAACTCCATTTTGACCACACCGTGAATCAAAGTAAGTATTCAACGCTAGCCCAGGTCAATCCATTTATCATTAGAGGCTTCACCCTACTTGGCTTGCTTTCTGAAATGTATTTTACACTATGGAATACGAAATCTATCTCGTTTGGGGAGAGGGGGGGGG